TGTTCAGGTAGTCCAGAGATGCAGGGTACATCATGTTGATTGTGGAGATTTAATACCCTGCTCCTGAGGCTGCTGGGAGAAATTTCCCTTTCTCTTCTTTGTTGGAACAGCTGCTGGGGTTCAGCTTTGGAATTGGCCCCACCTCTGCATATAGGTCGCCTGAGGGCATCTGTTCCCTCCCAGACAGGATAAAGGACCAGCTGATTAGGGGCCTCTGGCTCACTCAGGCCCGAGGGAGGGAGGGGTACTGAATGCGGGGCGAGCCTGTGGCGGCAGAGGCTGGCATGATGTTGCAACAGCCTGAGGCTTGCCGTGTGTTCTCCCGGGGAAGTTGTCCCTGGATCACAGGACCCTGGCAGTGGCGGGTTGCACAGGCTCCCTGCAGGGGAGGTGTGGATAATGACCTGTGCTTGCACACAGGCTTCTTGGTGGCTGCAGTAGCCACCTTAGCATTTCATAACCATCTCTGGTGTCCACCCTGATAGCCGCAGCTCGCGCCTATCTCTGGAACTTGTTTAGGTGGTGCTCTGAATCCCCTCTCCTCGTGCACCCTGAAACAATGGTCTCTTGCCTCTTAGGCAGTTCCAGACTTTTTCCCAGACTCCCTCCCTGCTAGCTGTGGCACACTAGACCCCCTTCAGCCTGTGTTCATGCAGCCAACCCCAGTCCTCTCCCTGGGATCTGACCTCCTATGCCGGAGCCTCTGCTCCCAGTCCCCACCCATCCTGGCAGGTGAGCAGACAAGCCTCTCAGGCTGGTGAGTGCTGGTCGGCAGTGATCCTCCGTGCGGAAATCTCTCCACTTTGCCCTCTGCACCCCTGTTGCTGCGCTCTCCTCTGGCTCCGAAGCTCCCCCACCCACCCACCCCCCATCTCCACCAGTGAGGGGGCTTCCTAGTGTGTGGAAACTTTTCCTCCTTCACAGCTCCCTCCCAGAGGTGCAGGTCCCATCCCTATTCTTTTGTCTCTGTTTTTTCTTTTTTCTTTTGCCCTACCCAGGTACGTGGGGAGTTTCTTGCCTCTTGGGAGGTCTGAGGTTTTCTGCTAGCGTTCAGTAGGTGTTCTGTATGAGTTGTTCCACATGTAGATGTATTTCTGATGTATTTATGGGGAGGAAGATGAGCTCCACATCTTACTCCTCCGCCATCTTGAAGGTCTCTCCCCTGGACACTTTAATACACTTCTGTCAGTACTTGATAGCACAACTGCATCCCCTCAAAGGTGAAGAAAATCAAAGATCCAAAAGCTACTACTATCAGCAACCATGACCTAATTGACATTTATATCCAACAACTGCAGAATGCACATTTTTTTCAAGTGTACAAGGAACATTCAACAAGTAGGCCATGTGTTAGGACATAAAATAAGTCTCAGTGTATTTCAAAAGATTGAAATCTTACAGGGTTTATTTTCTGACTATGGTGAAGGTAAGCTTGAACTACATGATAATAAAGTGACTGTGTATTAAAAATTGTGGGATGGGGCTTCTCTGGTGGCGCAGTGGTTGAGAGTCCGCCTGCCGATGCAGGGGACACGGGTTCGTGCCCCGGTCCGGGAAGATCCCACATACCGCGGAGCGACTGGGCCCGTGAGCCATGGCTGCTGAGCCTGCACGTCCGGAGCCTGTGCTCTGCAACGGGAGAGGCCACAACAGTGAGAGACTTGCGTACCGCAAAAAAAAAAAAAAAAAATGTGGGATGAAGCTAAAGCAGTACTTACAGGGAAATTTTTAGCTTTAAATGCTGATGTTAGAAAAGAAAGATTTTGAAAATCAAGGTATCAGCTTCCACATTAAGAAGCTAGAAAAAGAAGGGCAAATTAAATCCACAGTAAATAGAAGGAAGGAAATAATAATGACAACAATAGAAATAAAGGGAATGGATGAAAAATCTGGTCCTTTGGAAAGATCAGTCAAATTGATAAACTTCTAGCTAGGCTGATCAGGGGAGAAAATGCAAAGGATACAAATTACCAATACTGGGAATAAAAAAAGAAAATTGAGGATAAATCTATACAGAGTATAGAATTAAAAAGATAATAAAGGACTGTTGTGAACAACTTTATGCTAATAATTTTAATAACAAAATCCATAAGTCACAGAACTAACACAAGAAGTAGAAAATGTAAATAGCCTAAATAGTCTACTAAATTTTAACTACAAAGCAAATTTCAGGCCCAGATAGCTTCACTGGTGATTTCTATAAACATTGAAGAAAGATATGGTACCAATCCAACACAACCTAAATAGAGGGGGTGGGAATAGCTCCCAATCATTTTATGAGGCCAATTTTATTCTGATAGCAAAACCAGTAAAAGAAATTACAAGAATAGAAAACTATAAACTAATATCCCTCATAAATATGCAAAAATTCTTAATAAAATATTGATATATTAAAACAATATAGAAAAAAAATAATACATAATAACCAGTGGAGTTTTCCGTAGGATTAATTTAACATTAGAAAATCAGTTAATATAATTTTTGATATTAATAGTACAAAGGAAAATCATAAAATATCTCAACAGGTGCATAAAAATCATTTGACTAAATTTAACAACCATTTCCAATTAAAACTCTCAGAAAACGGGACTTCCCTGGTGGTCCAGTGGGTAAAACTCCATGCTCCCAATGCAGGGGGCCCGGGTTCGATCCCTGGTCAGGGAACTAGATCCCACATGCATGCTGCAACTAAGAAGCCACAACTAAACATGCCACAACAAAGATCCTGTGTGTTGCAACTAAGACCCAGTGCAGCCTAAATAAATAAATTTTTTTAAACTCTGAGAAAACAATGAGAAGAAGGGAACTTTCTCAACATGATATGGGGCATCTATGAAGGCAACACAGCTAACATTATACTTAATGATGAAAGTCTCAGATGTCTGCTTTCAGCACTTCTGCTGAGAATTATACTAGATGCCTTAGCCACTGCAATAGTTAAGAAAAAGAAATAAAAGGCATGCAGATTGAAAAGGAAGAAGTAAAACTCTATTTGCAGACATGATTTCTTATATGGAAAACACTAAGGAATCTACAAAAAAAGTTACCTGAACTATTAAGTGAATTTAGCAAGGTCAGAGGATACAGGGATAATATACATACATAAATCAACAGCATTTCTATATACTAGCAATGAATAATTGGAAAATGACAAAAAGTTATTTCCATTTTCAATATCATTTAAAAACATCAAATTCTTTGGGATAAACCTTTTTGGTTTGTACAGATGAATTGGGGATATAAGGGAGAAAACTAATAATTTAACTTGGGACAAGAAGTGATCTGGAAGAATTTTCGCACACAGTGATATCTGTGCTGAGTCTTGAAAGACAAGAAACTTCCAAACAATCAAAGGGATAATAATCACTCCAGACAAAAGAAAGAACATAAGCAAACATAAAGATAGAAATACTTGAGAAAGCATGGCACATTTGGGGATCTGAAGTAGTTCTGTGTGATTTGCGCACACGAGGAGGAGAGTAATCACGAAGAGGCTGAATTATGAAGGGCTTTATGAGTCTTTACTAAAGCATTTGCCCTTTATCCTGTAGCTCATATGGTGGGTTTTAAGTGAGAGAGACATGGTAATGTTGCACTTTAGGAGTTGGTGATGGAATAGGAGTTGAATTCAGACCTTTGCAGCTATTTATGTTGAGTTCAGCTAGCAGTAGAGAGGCAGCGATACTATATGGCTGCTTCTTAGGAATGAGGCATTAGGTTTCACCAAGCAATCCCTATTCCAAGATGAGATGCATGCCAGCTTCTCACTTGACCCACCCAGGATCCTGTGTCCTGCTTTGGTGCCGTTGACAGTGGTGACCATCACATCTATTAAAAGAAATAGCACGGTAGCTGTAGTAGCAGCAAGAGCATTGCTAGCCCAGCAATTAGTACCCGACATAGCAGTGGCAATGGTACCCAACCAAGTGAGGAGACACCTGGAAGGCAGAGCAATATTTTTCCTGGCTCATGACACAGAGGTTCTTTACAGTACCTCTGGCTGGCATCATCAGGCTTTGTGAACTGCCTAATCATCAAGGAATGGGGGTGAATATAGGAGGTTTTTTGTAATTAGTTTAGGCTCACACTTAGAATGGTTAGTTTTATAACCCTTAGTGTATTATTCTCCATATCTGACTATAGGCTGACTATACATTGAATGAAGTTGTACATTCCTAGGCCCTAACAGGGAAAGAAGGAAACAGGCCTGGGTTTGAATGTCTGTCTCTGCTACATAACTGTATAATCCATAGGTAAATAACCTAACCCCTCTGAACTCTAGTTTCCCCATCTGTATAATGGAGATGATAATGCCTTCCTGACAGGGCCATTGTGAAAATTAAAGATGTGTGAAAGCACTCAACACATTCTTAGCACAAAGTAGATTCTCATACTTCTCATGTTTCCCTTCTTTAGCTTCTGTTGTAGGTTATCCTGTGTATTTGCTTTTCCAAACAAAGTTTGCTTTTTACTTTGACTTAAGGTTGAAATCTTCTCTACTACTCCCCTGTTCACCTTGGATCATAATACATTTCCCCCTGTGTCCTCTGTTATGTGCTTGTGGCATTTGGATAATTTAAGAAGGTATAGAAATTGGCAGCTTTGACAGAGGAAAATTTTGGCCAAAAGAAATAAACTAACACTTATGTTATATAAGATATATAGGGGCTTCCCTGGTGGCGCTGTGGTTGAGAGTCCACCTGCTGATGCAGGGGACACGGGTTCATGCCCCAGTCCGGGAAGATCCCACATGCCGCGGAGCGGCTGGGCCCGTGAGCCATGGCCGCTGAGCCTGCGCGTCCAGAGCCTGTGCTCTGCAACAGGAGAGGCCACAACAGTGAGAAGCCCGCGTACGGCAAAAAAAAAAAAAAAAAGATATATAAATTGTCAGTGAAGTGAAAAAGTGAAATAGTTTTATCCTTAAAAGCTAAGCTTTAAGTCCTCTTAGATAAAGCTAAGACCCCTACTTGACCTCTTATCTTCTCACAATCCTTCAACAGGACTTCATTGACTTAACTAGAGAAACCAGACCAAGGGCAAAGGATCGCAATGGACTCTGTGTGATTGACCTAACAGGATCTGAGGAAGAAAATAGACCTATTGCCACTCTTGACTTGACTCTAGAACCCGTTGCTCCTTCCCAGAAAGAGCCAGCCAGTCTTCAAGCATGTGCCAGCCTCTCCAGCAAAGAGGTGATGGAAGGGCGGGTAGACAGAAGCTCTCGGCCTGCAGCACGGAGAATCATTAACAGTGATCCTGTGGATTTGGACCTTTTGGAAGAAACTGCATTTGAAGGTCCCCAGCCCCCTATGTCCATCAGTGGGGACTCTGTTTATCCAGGAGAGCCGAATTGTAGCTCAACCATATTCAAAGGTGACCTCGGCTTCTTGGCAAGCCTACAGCTATCTTCAGATATTCACTCCCTCCCTGCAACAAGCAATAATGGTAGCCGTAGCAATCAAAGGGCACCCTTGCCATGCCCACAGCAAGATGTGCCTTGCCCTCCACAAGCCTTGCCATGCCCACTGAGAGCCTTGCCATGCCCACTGCAAGCCTCACCGTGTCCACCACGAGCCTCCTCATGCCCACCGCGAGCCTTGTCATGCCCATCACAAACCATGCAGTGCCAACTACAAACTTTGCCTCACCCACCTCAAGAAGGGCCATGCCCTCCTCAAGATGTGCCATGCCCTCAGAATGTGCCATGTGCTCAGCAGAATATGCCAAGTCCACCTCAAGACTCATCATGGCAACTTCAACACTCACAAAGCCCACCTCAAGACTCACTGGGCCTACTTCAAGATGTACCAGGCCCACCTCAAAACATAACGTATCCACAAGATGTGGCACACCTGCAAGACATGCCACAGTCACCAGGAGATATGCTACAATCATCAGGAGACATGCCACAATCACCAGGAGACATGCCCCAGTCAGCAAGAGATGTGCCACAGTCACCAGCTGATGTCCTACAGTCACCAGCAGATGTGTCACAGTCACCAGCCAATGTACCACAGTCACCAAGAGACATGCCACCGTCACCAGGAAGTGTACCACATTCACCTGGAGAAGTCCCACACTTATCAGGAGATGTGCTACATTCACCTGGGGACATGTCGTGCTTGCCAGAAGACATGCCACACACACTTAGAGACTTGCCTCATTTACCAAAACTCAGGCCTGACTCTCCACAAAATGATGTACAGAACCATGACACCCCTATGGATGTCTCAGCTCCATCCTCTCCAAGCTGCTCTCCCAGCCCACAGTCTGAAACTTCCTTAGAGAAAGTTCCTTGGCTCTCTGTCACAGAAACTCCAGCCAGAAAAGAGATATCACTGTCAGAGCCTGTCAACCCCAGATCTGCCCAGGTGCAAGCACGAACACCACAAGGTGGGTTGTGCAACAGACCATGCCTGCATAGACTGAAGTACTTCTTACGACCTCCGGTGCATCACCTCTTCTTCCAGACACTAATACCAGATAAAGACACAAGAGAGGTGAGCTAACATGTCTTCCCCTAGGGATCAGGTGTCCTTTGTATAGGCCTAGCATGACGTTAGTATGCTACAAGGAGTCCATGCATGAGAGGACAGGCCCAGCTGAGTTAAGACATTTTTATCTTTCTCCCACTGTGGAACCATTCAGTGTAGAATCAGATCTGGGTTCAAATTCAGCCCCACACTTAAAATCTGGCACTGAAGAAGTCACTTCACCTATCTATAAAATGGAGATAAGAACATACTTCACAGTATCATTAAAGGAGATAATATGTAAAGTGCCTGTTGGAGTGTCTGGCTCATCATAGGCCTTCATCAAATACTTCTCCATTCCTCTGCCTTTCCTTCCTCAATTCCTGATGCCCTCATTACAGCTTCCATATTACAGAGATAATAATACTCATGACACTTTGGTACCTTCAAAATTGTTACTCTCTAACTTGGGGGGAGGAAATTCAACTTTAAGATTTTTTTTATTGAAGTTGATTCACAATATTGTTTTAGTTTCAGGTATACAGCAAAGTGATTCAGTTATATATTTGTTCAGATTATTTTCCATTACACATCATTACAAGATACAGAATATTGTTCCCTGTGCTAGACAATAGATCCTTGTTGCTGATCTGTTTTATGTATAGCAGTTTGTGTCTGTTAATCCCATACTTCTAACTTGTCCTTCCCCACCTCCCTTTCTCCTTTGGTACCCATAAGTTTGTTTTCTATATCTGCAAGTCTGTTTCTGTTTTGTAGATAGATTCATTGGTATTATTTTTTTGGATTCCACATATAAGTGATATTATATAATATCTGTCTTTCTCTGTCTGACTTACTTCACTTAGTATGATATTCTCTAGGTCCATCCATGTTGCTGCAAATGGCATTATTTCATTCTTTTTTATGGCCGAGTAATATTCCACTGTGTGTGTGTTTGTGTGTGTGTGTACCATATCTTCTTAAACCAATCATCTGTTGATGGGCACTTGGGTTGTTTCCATGTCTTGGCTATTGTACATAGTGCTACTGTGAACATTGGAGTGCCTGTATCTTTTTAAATTAGAGTTTTCGTCTTTTTCCAGATATATGCCCAGGAGTGGGATTGCTGGACATATAGTAGCTCTATTTTCAGTTTTTTGAGGAACCTCCATACTGTTTTCCATAGTGGCAGCACCAGTTTACATTCCTACCAACAGTGTAGGAGGGTTCCCTTTTCTCAACACCCTCTCCAGCTCAATTTTAAGACTTTAATGGGAATGCTACTTCCCATTAGTCTTCATCGATCTGTAAGAACTAAACTAGATGTGTAAGAAAAAAAAAAATTGTGGCTAAGTCCCATAACATGAAGCTTTTTTTCATTATACCTAACCACATTCCCAACGTTAAGAAGACTGGCTTGAAGTTGTTCAAGAATTCAAAAGGTGCTTCTCCTGTTGGAGCAATCCGTAATCCAGCTTAGTGGGTGTCAGGCATTCACATTGATTTGCCCTTAGAGAGTGAATTTTTTTTTCTCGTTTTAATTGTTCTACCTTCTAGTAGGCTTTATGTCTCCTCCTTCTGAATGACTTTGCCCAACACTAGCTTGTTCTCTTTTTTCCTATGAGTTTGCCTCTGATTGGCGATACATCATTCCATTATTGAGCACCTGGAGGACTTGAGAAAGTTTTTTACCTAGTCAAGGCTGTAGTGCTTTGTAGGTGCTACACAACCAAAGAAGCCATCAGTAGATACAGGTCCACCTTATGTGTACACATAGCTCAGATTACAAGGTGGCAATTAGGCTACACAGAGTGGCTTTTTCTTCATCTTTATTTCTTAACTTCTCAAAGAATCTCAGCCATCTAGAATACATCTGTAAATATTTTCTGTCTCTTTTGATTACTTTTGGGCTTTTTATAAGTAGTTCTTCACTAAGTCATTCTCCCCCCAGAACTTGTTTTTAGTGTGATGCACTTTATTTTCTATTCTGTTCTAATTCATTGGGGGTTTTGGTCAGTACATTATTTTTTTATTGAAGTATAGTTGATTTACAGTATTATATTAGTAATGGGCAAAGGATTTGAATAGACATTTCTCAAAAGATTTTCTGTATCGTTAGTCATTAGGGAACTGCAAATCAGAATCACAATGGGATACCACCTTGTATCGACTAGGATGGCTATAATAATACTTATTATAGCCATTTATAGCCAATAAATATAATATATTTATTATATTAAATATATATTTAATACTATATAACTATATTATTAAAATATAGTTGATTTACAATATTATGTTAGTTTCAGGTATACAACAAAGTGATTCCGTTATTTTTTTCAGGATAGGTTTTTACAGGATATTGAATATAATTCCCTGTGCTATACAGTAAATTCTTCCAAGAACTTCTTAGCCAGTGTCCATGCTGCCGCTAACCAGACATTAGCCTTAACTCCTCTGAGTTATCAGTGAGATCAGGGGTTACCCTCAGGTGTCCTGAGACATAAGAAAGCTAACTGCCCTCTCCCCAGAAGGGCAATTCCAGCCATCACTGTTTTTCTGTTATACATAAACTATCAAACTTTGTTTGGCTTATGTTTTAAAATTAATACTTATTCTCAGATTTTAAAAATAATGCTTGCTTAAGAAATAATCACCCATGATGCTATCAGTCAGCATTTATTAATGTTAATAATTGGGTGTATTTCCTTCCTGGTTGCCTTTTTATGTGTAGACACTTTAAATTTTTTAATAATTGGGGGTTTTAACAATAATATATTTATTATTGTTGGTTTTATTGTTTATAGAGAGTTTGAGTTTAGATGGTAGCTATGGAGTTATACCGCTGTATGAAACCAGCTTCTGCCATCTATTGCATGACAAATTCTCACTCTAAATCTCAGTTTCCTTATCTATAAAATAGGAATAATAATAACATGTATTTCTTACAGTTGTTGAGAGAATTAAGTGAGGATAAGTTGAATGTTAAAACTTATTATTATAATTATTGTTGTTATTGTATCAGACTTTTTAATGTTTGTTTTTCTTCTGATGATGTGTCTATTACAGAAAAATTGAAAACTACAAAAGAACATATAGAGGAAAAATCATCCATCATTTCACCACCCAGATAATAGAAAACCACTTTTCATACATTCTCTTTCATTCTTTATATACATACTGTTTGGGGGTTGGTGGGGGGGGCGGTGAAGCAACTTAATATTTACTGTTGACTCAAAAAAAATCAACAAAATGGAATTCTTCTTCTAACAATAAAAGATATTTTAAGCATCTTTATTCATCTCTTTGTTTCAGTATCTGATATAGTATCATAGCTACCCCTAAATATCTTATCACCCTTATTCCAAAATCAACTTAGGCTAGCTCTTAAATCTTTTGTACTTTCCTTTCTAATGCTATATTTTAACACAGATGAAATCATGTTACATGTAGAACTTTGTATTCTTATTTGTTAACTTAATATAAGCATTTTACCATGTCATTAGAAGTTTTTTAGATAAGGCTTTCCAGTCTCAATTTTTTAAATTATGAATATTTAAAATGCATGGAAAACTTCCCTGTCTTCAACTTGTTCCAGAACCTCTAGCTTTTATGTCTATAGAAACCCATCCTAATTTATTTCTTTTTATCTCTGCAGAACAAGGGTCAAAAATTAGAACCTATCCCTCATCGAAGACTAAGGATGGTAGCAAACACCATTGAAGAAAACTTTCCCCTGGGGACTGTGCAGTTTTTGATGGACTTTGTGTCACCCCAGCATTACCCACCCAGGGAAATTGTGGCTCACATCATCCAGAAAATCCTGCTCAGTGGCTCTGAGACTGTGGATGTTCTAAAGGAGGCCTACATGCTTCTCATGAAAATTCAACAGTATGAACCTTAGCTTTTGGCAAATCTTCTGGGGAACCTGGACTCAGGGCACAACTTTCTCTTGCCTAAGATTTATTCATCTAACCATTAGAGAGGGTGACTTAGTATATTAGTATTATTTGTATTGCAAGTGACAGGAAACTCAATCCAAACTGGCTTTAACAGCTGGTAAAAGAGAATTTAATGACTCGTGTTACTAGAAACCTAGGAATAAGATGTGACTTAATTCAGTTCAGAAATGGTTACCAGGATCCATTTTTCAGCTCTGCGTTGCTGTTTCTAGGCTTCACATGGTAACCTTCTCAGCCTCTAGCTTTTACAACATTCTTAGTACAAGAGAGGGTCCACTTCCTTTATAATCACACAGAGTTCTGAAATTGAGTCTTATAGGTTTTAATTGGCATAACATAAGACCTGAGTCCATCTTTGAGCCAATCATTGTGAACTGAGGAATAGAATATCAAGATTGACATGCTTCACAGACTTCATCCCAGGGTCCTAGTGGGTAAAGCCAGTGGGCTAAGAATAATAAAGAGTTGATTTCTTCAAGGCAAAATTGGGGTACTAATGCTTCCCAAAAGACAGGTGGATACTGGGTAGCCAAAGAAAATGAACTTCCACTACCCTCAGATGACATGGTATTGTATCAAAGGGTGGGCAAGAGCACTGAGGATAAGAGGAGGCTTCTTGCTTCTATCATCTTCGAGATCCCATCCCTTCTTCCACTAAACTCTCCAGAATTCTGATTGATGTCACTTTACTTTCAGGCTACATCCAGCTAATGCCAAGACGGTGGAGTGGGACTGGAAGCTGCTCACTTATGTCATGGAGGAAGAGGTAACATAGCAATTGCAAGCAAAAATCTTTTGCAGAGGAGGTTTTTTGTTTGTTTTTTTTTTTTGCGGTATGCGGGCCTCTCACTGTTGTGGCCTCTCCCGTTGCGGAGCACAGGCTCCGGACGCGCAGGCTCAGTGGCCATGGCTCACGGGCCCAGCCACTCCACGGCATGTGGGATCTTCCCAGACCGGGGCACGAACCCGTGTCCCCTGCATCGGCAGGCGGACTCTCAACCACTGCGCCACCAGGGAAGCCCCGCAGAGGAAGTTTTAACTAGAAATAAAAGTGACTGTAAATCTGGTAGTAACGTCTTTGCCATTATTCCTTTCTTTTACTCCCCCCAATCCCGACCAAAACATTCCTATTGAAATGGTATGTGCTGTCTTCCAATTCAAGATTGAATACGTTCACTTATCCCTCTCCTTTTTCAGATTCCATTTAAAATAACAGTAAATGAATAGAGAAATGTATAAACCTATGGCACTGAAAATAAGGGGAAAGACAATAGATTTGAATGAAGATTGGAAGAGCTAAAGGAAATATAAGAGTGATGACTGATGAAGCTAGGCTGAGAAAGCTACAGGCTAGAATACATGAGGAAGGGCTGTAGCCAAAGAGGGAGGAAATCTGCCCTTTAGAGCAGAGAATTTTTGGACTCAGAAACACAGTATATAAGAAGGTTGAAGTAGGATATGAGCTGTAAGTCTGTTGAAAGCTTGTAGATGGAACTGATAATCTCTCTATTTTTGAGTACAGAAAGCTCAGTTGCCAGGTTACCTACCTTTCAGGCAAAAAAATCAGAGGATTCATTGTCTAAAAGAAATCGAATGAACCATCTGTCATAAATGAAGGCAGCTAGTGTAGAGTTGGTGCTCCAGAAAAAAAGTCTGCATTCTGACCTTTAGGGATCCCTAAACTTAATTGCCAGCTTTCTGTCTGCTAACCCAAAAGCACTTGGATGGAACAAATTATTGTCAACTTAGAACTCTATACTCAGCCAAACTATTAGTCAACTGTGAGGGTAGAATAAAGACATTTCCAGACATGTACAAACTTGACAAAATATCCACACACCCCATTTCATAGGTTACTTGAAGATATGCATACAAAGAATAGGGGAACAATCAAAAAAGGGGGAGACACAGGATCCAGTATCACTAGATCTAATCCAGAAGAGTAAGGAAGAGAAGTCCTGAGATTACTGCAAATAGTAGACCTAGAGGGCAATCACTCCAGATTGGAGCAAAAAAATACAGGGCTTTAAGGAAGCATGATCTGGGAAACACCACCAAGAGGGCAGACAAGGAAGCTCCAGGCTCTTATTCCCCAATGGAGATACCAAGTTAACAACAATATATGGACCAGAATACCTTTGTGAAAACTCTAGAGACCAGTTGAGAAGTTGTAGTACTCAGGCCAACCAATGCATAACCAAGAAGGTACTCCATTGAAAGGAGTAGGAAAGTTTGTGGTGTTTTGTGTGTCCATACCCCTCCCTCTACCTAGCATAGCACAGTGCAACTAGGAGGAAATCTCCCATACCTTGGCTCCTCCCTTGGGATGGAAACAGAAGAGTGGACGTTGAGTCCAGTGTTCTGGCTTGTTAGGAGGATAGTTTCTGTCTTACCTGACTCAGAGCACTGTTGAGAACAGTGGCTTAGTTTTCTGGCTGAAAAGAAATGTGAACACTGCAGCATTTTAGAGGTGCAGAGAGTATGCAGTTCCACAAACAGGTACTGGGGGAGCAAGAGACTGTGGGCTTTCAAGAAGAAGTAGGGGCAAGCCACTTGGGAAATTAAGGCAGATAAAAGCACACACACAAGCTCAGAGAAAACACATCTCCAGTAAAGGTCTGAGAGGTCTCAGGACCTTTAGCCAAGCTGATTGGTGAAGGTCTTGCCATGCATGAACTCAATGGATAAAGACTGGGAAAGGTGTTTTTTTCAAATGTTTAAATCTCAAAAGAAGATTACAAAGAGGCAGGGAAATGCGGCCCAATCAAAAGAATGAAATAAAGCTCCAGAAACTGACCCTAAAGAAACACAAATCTCTCAACATACTGACAAAAAAAATTTTTTAACTATCTTAAAGATGCTCAAGGAGCTAAAAAAGAACACAGACAACAAAATGAAGCAAGAAAATAATGCATGAACAAAATGAGAATATTAAATTTTAAAAAACTGTAGAAAATAATCAAACATATCCTGGAGCTGAAAAATACAGTTACTGAATTGAAAACTTCACTAGAGGAGTTCAACAACAGTCTTGGTCAGGCAGGAGAAAAAAAATCAGTGAACATGAAGAAAGGTCATTTGAAATCACTGAGACAGAGGAGCAAAAAGAAAACAGAATAAAGAAAATTGATGAGCACCTAAGGGACTATGGGACACCATTAAATGGACCATATACACATTAGGGAAGTCCCAGAAACGGAAGAGAGAAAGGGGCAAAGAGCTTATTTGAAGAAATAATAACCAAAAACTTTCCAAGTCTGAGGAAAGAAGTGGGCATACAAATTCAAGAAAGCTCCAGTGAGAATAAACCAGAGAGACCCCACACCAAGACACATTGTAATCAAACTGTCAAAAGTCAAAGACTTTTTCTTTGAAAGACTTTTTCTTGAAAGCAGCAAGAAAAAAGTGAGTTTGTATAAGACTCTCAGCAGATTCTCAGCGAAACCTTGCAGGTCAGAAGGCAATGGGATGATGTATTCAAAGTTCTAAAAGAAAAGAACTGTCAACCAAGAATACTATATCTGGCAAAACTTTCCTTTAAAAATGAGGGTGAGCAGCAGGAGAGAAGTGACACATCAATACAAGATCCTCAATAAGATTATCAGAGATTTCTCATTAGAAACTGGAGGCCAGAAGTTAGTGGGGCGATATATTCAAAGTGCTAAAGAATAAAAGTCAACCAAGATTCCTGTATCCAGCAAAACTGTCCTTCAAAAATGAGGGAGAAACTACTGGGCATATACCCTGAAAAAACCATAATTCAAAAAGAGTCATGTACCACAATGTTAATTGCAGGTCTGTTTACAATAGCCAGGACATGGAAGCAACCTAAGTGTCCATCGACAGATGAATGGTTAAAAAAGATGTGGCACATATATACAATGGAATATTACCCATAGAAAGAAACGAAATTGAGTTATTTGTAGTGAGGTGTATGGATCTAGAGACTGTCATATAGAGTGAAGTAAATCAGAAAGAGAAAAACAAATATCATATGCTAACACATATATATGGAATCTAAAAAAAAAAAAAGGTTCTGAAGAACCTAGGGGCAGGACAGGAATAAAGACAGACGTAGAGAATGGACTTGAGGACATGGGGAGGGAGAAGGGTAAGCTGGGACGAAGTGAGAGAGTGGCATAGACATATATACACTACCAAATGTAAAATACATAGCTAGTGGGAAGCAGCTGCATAGCACAGGGAGATCAGCTCAGTGCTTTATGTCCACCTAGAGGGGTGGGATAGGGAGGGTGGGAGGGAGACGCAAAAGGGAGGCAATACGAGGATATAAGTATACGTATAGCTGATTCACTTTGTTATACAGCAGAAACTAACACACCATTGTGAAGCAATTATACTCCAATAAAGTTGTTAAAAAAAAAAATGAGGGAGAAATAAAGACATTCCCAGATAAACAAAAGCTGAGGGAGTTCATTTACTACTATCCCTGCTCATCAAGAAATGCTAAAGGGAGTCCTGAAGGGTAAAATGAAAACTAAACAGTAACTTGAAGCCGTATGAAGAAATAAAGATAAATACATGGGCAGTTATGAAAGCTATTATTGTAACAATGGTTTGTAACTCCACATTGGTTTTCTATAATGTATTAAGAAACTAATACATTTTTAAAGTATTAATCTAAAAGCTAGTATTATTGTAACTCCACATTTTGTTTTCTACATAATTTAAAAGATTAATGCATTTAAAAGAATTATTAGTTTATTTTGGGGCACACAATATATGAAGATATAGTATTGTGACTTCAACAACTAAAAGGGGTGGGAACAGAGCTGTAAAGGAGCAGAGTTTTTGTGTGTTATTGAAGTTAAGCTGGTATAAATTCAAAGTATTATAATTTTAGAATGTTAAATGTAATCCCCATGGTAACCACAAAGACAATAGCTGTAGAATGTACACAAAAGGAAATGAGAAAGGAATGTAAACATTTCACTACGAAAAAATCAAAGACAATAATGCAGGAAATGAGGGACAAAGAAACTATAAGGCATTTACAAAACAAATAGCACAAGGCCAGAAGTAAGTCCTTCCTTGTCAGTAAAGGGAAACCAATGAATTGTGCATGCCTGCCTGCTGTGTGACAGACACTTACGCTGGCTTTGGTAAGGTTAGAGTTATCACCACATAAATCACAAGGACACTGAGACTCAGCGGGGTAAGTTAAATACGGGATGGAGCTGAGTTTCAAACAAACAAATAAATAAGGTCTGTGCACCACCAAAGCCCATGCTCTTTACCTGCATCAGTTAGGCTTCAACAGTTAGGATCATTTCACCTGTAACAGGAAACCCAGCTCAGACTTGCTTTCACAGTAAGGATATACATCAGCTCATCTTACCAGAAGTATAGCAGTGAGATAGACATCATGGTTGCTTGATCTAGTAGCTTGGCATAGTCATTTTTTCTGTCTCTGTTCGGATATCCACAGTTTAGGGTTTATCCTGAGACTGATAGTTAGGTTCAGTGAAAGAAAGAGACTGACTTTTGAAGCTCTAGGATTGCCCTATTTGCCCTCTTTTATAATGACCTAGACTGCTTGCTCTCTCCCAGAAACCTCTCTTTTAGATACACACTCGTTGACTCATGGGCCTTCCCTTGACTTAGTATTTATGAGAGCCCAGTGCTCAGTGTCGTCCAGGAGATTGAGAGGAAATACTTCTCATTTTTTCTCCCCCAGGGACAAAATCTGCCCGGGCGAGTCCTTTTTCTACGTTATGTAGTACAAACCCTGGAAGATGATTTCCAACAGATCCTGAGGAAGCAGCGACAGCACCTGCAGCAATCTATTGCAAGCACTGTGCTATCCTGTGACAAGCAACCCCACAATGTCAGGTAACCAGCCATCTGAGCCCTGGGATGACAAGAGGTAGGGGCTGTAAGTGGGCAGCTACTCAAGTCCGGAGAACATCAGGTGGATGAGATTTTCTAGTAGCTAGATAGTATAACAGGGATAGTTATTACAACTATAAACAGTCCTAGAAGAAAACCTCTCTGTACCAACTGTGTGTCAGATGCCATAACTTGTGTGGTTTTTTTCCCGAGGACCATCAGACTTCCTTTAGTCTATTTCAGTATTGTTCAGACGGCCTTGTGAGATCCAGGGGGAAAACTTGACTTGTGTAAAACTTTTCACAGCTTTTATAAACCTAAATTTATTTCCATCCCCCTGAGTAACTCAAGATAAATCTCATTTGTCACTACTACTTTCTGAAAAGCCTATTATTATAATAGGTCACGTGGCTGACAATAAAGTACAGTAAGGTAGCAAGCACGTGTTCTTTTTTTGTAGGATAAGGTCCAAAGCTTCTGGAAGCTTCAGAGTGGGGAACTACCATATCCTTATACCAATGGGGTGAAATGTGGTTTATAGGGTAGGGATCTCAGGCTAGAATTTTCATCCTGGAACTACAAGCTTTGCTTCTTTTGGAAACGGTTCTCACCAGCATTCCTTTTTTCAGAGCATCATTGAGATTTTTTTTCACTCACATTTACATTCTCATATGTTCTGGCATATTTGTTAAGAATAGTTTTCACAGGCCAGTGTGGGATATTGACTATTATAACTCCTTTAATTAGAAAAGGGGGACGTTTCATTATGTTCTAAGTAACAGTCCGCTTTTTCTCCCTTAGTTTGCATGCTTATATCCATTTCCCTAGATGTACCATTTTATGTAAAGTTTAAATGTTAATGATTATAGGGGGTAGAAAATCAGTAAGTAGAGAAACTACAGAGAGTACAGGATAGCATAGTTGGGTTTAAAATTGAAAAATAACAATTTAAATAGTGAGAGCAACTCTCCTGACCATTCTGCTTTGTGAGCTTAGGCATTGGATTGGGAGATGGGAGACATGAACCCAACTCAATCCAGTGACAAGTCACTCACTTTCATTGTGTGAGCCTCTCACTATACCCAACACTATACTCTTGGGTTTAAAGATAGGCATTGGTAACCTCTAAATGCAAGCCACATACTCTATTTTGTGCTTTATCAATGAAAAAAATCAGTTCCAGCTGGAGGGGAAACCAGCTGTATTTGATTCAATAAGAGAGGGCTATTAGATTGAGGTTGTGGTTACACGGATATGTGCATGTATTTATCAGAACTCATCAAACAGTATATAACTGTGCTTTGACCTCTAATGGGTGGGACAGTTGTCAGAGCTTTCTGAGAGGCTGTTCCCGGGTTATAATCCTCAGCTTAGCTCAAATAAAATTTTCCATTTCCTTCTTAAAATAAAAAAAATTCATCAAACAAAAACCAGTGTGCAATTTATTTTATATGTTATACCTCAAAGATAAGTTTTTAAAAAGAAAGTGATGGTAAGTCAGTCTCCATATGACCCCTTAAGGGATTTTCTTTTCTTTTTTTAACTGTGCATACAAAGAATAATCTAGTTCTACATGATTTAAGAAATACACTAGTCCCCAGATCCCCTCACCCACATTTTCCTTTCCCAAGGGGTAACTACTTTCAACTCTTTTATTTAAGTGATTCTTTGGATTTTTACCTCTTTATGGCTAAATAAACTGTTTGTGTTGCTAATTGTTGATTTTTCATTGTTAGCTATTATCTATTAACTCCCCACATGAAAGATGAGGAGTTAGCTCTTTTTCCTCTCTACCTCCTCTCTCTCTCTCTCTCTCTCTCTCTCTCTCTCTCTCTCTCTCTCTCTCTCTCTCTCACACACACACACACACACACACACATATCCCAGCCCCCATGCCATTAATAGAGTTATATCATAATTTTGTTTAGATCAGTATCCAATGTTTCCATCACTATAACTATGTGTGCTAGTCAGAGTTGAGCCAAGTACTAAACTGTGATTACTTTTTCTTTCACTCATACCTTTTTTGTTTTCCTTAGAGTTAATAACTGCCTCATTTTTAGTTTCCTCGTATTGTTTGTGCATATCAGAAGTCAACCCTAGATTCTCTGCCGTTTGGTTTAAATATCCCATCAAGATGTTTATTCACACTGGGTTAGTCTTATGAAGTTCTTCTTCTTGAAGATCTGTGGTGGAACGTTTTGACCTCCTTCAATCTGGATTGGTTGTCCTCTTTTCCAGTCTTTATCATAAATGTGAAAATTCCCTTCACCTGTTTCCAGTGTTGGATCTCTGTTTCATATCTTCTCTTTCTTGGTTTACTCCCATGTTTTTGATAGATCAGTCTCCAGTAGCTTCTTAGAAAGGTATGTGGGAAGTAAAATTTTTGAGATCTTGTATGTCTGAAAATATCTTTATCTTCCCACACGTTGATTGATAAGTAAGTATAGATATTTAGGTTAGAAATATCTTTTCTACAGAATATTAAAGGAAATATTCCATTGTCTTCTAGCTTCCAGAATTGCTGTAAAGAAGCCATAAGCTACTTTGATTACTGATTCTTTGTGTGTGCCTTGATTTTTTTCTCTGGCTGTTTATAGAATCCTCTTTTTGCCCAATATACTTGTTTTAGATCTATGTTCATCTCGAATGCTGGGCATTCAATGGGCCATTTCATATCCTTCATTCTTGGAAAATAGAATTTTCATTCCTGTTATCATGTTTTTAATTTCCAAGAGCTCTTTTTCTTTAAATGTTCCTTTTTAAAAATAATAAATAGAATTCTGTTCTTGTCTTTTTCTTTCATGGATCCGTATCTTTTCATATTTTTGATTATATTAATGATAGCTTTTGTTTTTGTTAGTTCCCTGTATAATGTCTGTTTTCTCCAAGTTGCTTTTTTGAGGAGAAAGGAGGGTTGGTTTGGCTTTTTGGTGTTTATCTCTCATGTTAGAATATGTCCATAGATGTCTGGTAAACTTTTGTAATCTATCCACGTTTAAGGGTGACTCAAAAGCTCTTGGAAGCTCTGAGTACAGGTGAGGACTTGTCATTTCTGAGCTTCCCTGTAGGTGGAACTGGCTGTCCATTTCTTAGAAAATACTTCGTCAGTGTCTTTAGGTCTTTCCTCTTGGGCTGGATGAGTTTTCCAGAAAAGACTTCAGATTTCCTACATGAAGGATAAAGACCAGGTTGCCAGGTTTTGGGAAGACAGTTCTGGGAAGGTGGCAAGGATCTCTGCACTGAGCATGCATAGGTTCACTTAGAGCCCCTGTTTTTGCTTTGATGCCTTTGCCTCCCAGCTGTGCCTGGTATCCCAGTCCAGAGACCCTCTGTTTTACCTCTCCACAAAGTTAACCTGTAGTCTTCAGCATTGGGGGAGAAGATCTAAAAGTTTCTTAAACAGATTACAAGCCATCATATTTATTTTAATTTACCCGCTTTTACCCTAACTTCATGGAAACCTCATACTGCCATTTGCAGCACTTATTGAAGGTTTTTTTTTTTTTCCATTTTTTGGTGAATAGGATTAAATAGGATTGCTCTTCCCTACTGCTGGCTTAGGATTCAGCTTTCTTAATTCTGCCAAGTCAGTTAAAATTTACCCCATTGCCAAAGTCATAGACTTAGATGAAACATCATCTAAACATGACATTTGCCTTATTTACTTAGTTAATTGGTTACTTTGAATTTTGTAATCAGCATCTCTTACCCAACCCCTTAAATCAAAGGCTAGGACCTTGACAATTACCTACATCCATCCCCCATCATCCACTTTTTGCACCTTCTTGCACCCAAAGTAATTGGCATCCTGAATGTTCATCATGTTCCTTTCCTTTTTATATAGTTTTATTGCATCTATATGTGTTCCTGTAAAGTATATATTTTTATTTTAGCTCCTTTTAGCTGTATGTAAAAGAGTATCATGTTGTATGTAATCAATTGGTACTTTTATATTTCACTTACTATTATAGAGTACTAAGATTTGTCCATACCTATCCACTGTAGCATATTCATTTCCACTACTGTAGAATATTGTTTTGTGAATATACTTCATTTTCCTTCCAGCTTCCAGATTTTTACTGTTATTATCTGCCCTCCTTTTCTTCCCTTCTTTGTGGATTTTTAAAAAAATTATTTACTGTAGTATTAGTGGCATTTTAGGAGGGAACAAAATTAGATGTGTATATTCAATCCATCATTTTTACCTAGGTTACCTAAGTGATCATCAAAAGTAATTTTGACTATATGAGATGTTTTTACCTTACTAACTTTGTGAGCCTACACCCTGTGTAAGGTTTGACTCTACTGCACATACTCTAAACCTTGGTTATTAGCATTAATAACTGACATCTAATAATAGAAAGCCAACAAAGTCATCCAGTCCAACTTTCCACTTTGTCAAGGAATGTTCCTGGTCAGGAAGCCACAGATAGTGCTCTTTGACCTTGGAGATACCTTTCAATAATTCTAACTTAAAGAAAAATGTTGATGTTTTACTTACCTTTTGTAACCTTACTGCAATTAAATGCAGGGTTTCCATTAGACTTTTTAAATATTGAAAGTAGCCTAAGGACCCTCTGTGTTGCCTTTAGGGAAATCTAGAGGTCTAGGAGCCCATGTTAAAGTTGCAGTTCTGAGCACCATATAGTAAGACAGAAGTTTAAACTTTTTCTTTCTTATCTTTTTTCCATTGCAGGGATGTCATCAAGTGGTTGGTCAAAGCAGTAACTGAAGACAGATTAACTCAGTCCCCAAAGGAGAATCAAACCTCTCCAGGAACAGGAATCTTGAAGGCCAGCAGTAGCCACCCTTCTCCCCAACCTAACCTCACAAAGAACACCAATCAGCTGTAAGGAGCAGGCAGAAGTTATCTTTCCTGGGGCTATTGGGATTTACTGTTTTAGAGAACAGCACCACCCCCTAAGAGGAGTTTCCCCAAAATTAACAAGCTCTTATAACATAGGCTGGTTTTTACTAAAAACTATCTTAGTTTGACTAAAGGCTAAATTCCTAATTCCAAAGGTAAAACAAAAGCAGATGCTTTCCCCCTAGATGAATAGGGCTTCACTAAGTGAATATTAATTCACAAAGCCGAAATGGAACAAAAGCCAGAGGACAGTGCCCTCCCTTTCCTAGATTCCAAGAGACAATACAGGGTTACAGCTACTCACCACTTCATCTGTCCACTGACAGAAGAGGAGTCATGCGTAGTGGGTGTTCCAAAGGCCTCTTGTTCTCAAGGACCTGGGTCTCTCCTCCAGTCCTGGAAGAAGAAGAGCAGTTCAACCTGCAGGTTCCAACAGGTTATAACAGCAATGGCTCAGACCAGGGCAGGTCCTATTACCTCAGACCACACTGGAAAGAGATTCCTGGCATTTTTTTAATGGGATTGAAAGTGGTCTTGGCATTTTTTGAGAAATGCCAGGATTTGGGGGCTGGAGCTGCCCTTGCACAAGTAACCTGCTATTCCATGTCAATTATGTTAAAAATGACAGTCAGACTTGAAATTTCAAATACAGCATTAGTGCCTAAATTCACAACGCTATATAATAATCTAGTTGCACTGACCTGATTTTCATATAAGTACTATGGGTTTTCACTAATTTAGGAGACAATCTTGTATCTAAAGGGAGAATGTTTTGGAACAATGAAATATTTGCTTGAGCAGATTGGGGAAGGTCCTAAAGTAGGGAAGTAGGGTTATCCCAGAACTCAGTATATAGACCCAAGAGAGAAGCAGACACTGTTCCTTAAATGAAAGCTAATATAATAATAATAATAGTAATAAATTTATTGTAAGTAGATATTAGTAGAATAAAATAGGGTCCCCCTAAAAGTGATCATGATCTTAACAACAACAGTAGGCACTGCTGTTTACCATTAATGAGTGCCTGTCTGCCAGATATCTTAAACAGCACAACTTTATGAAATAGGTGGTATTATTTCTCCTTTTTTGAGATGAGAGAACTTAGACTGAGAGCAGTTTAGTAATTTGTCAAAAATTGATCAGCTTGTCATTGCTGAGCCAGAATCTGATGCCAGAGTCCCTGTTCCACCTATTGTGTCACTGGCTACAGATTTTCTGAAAACAGAGCCCTTCCTTCCCTCACAAATAATAGTGCATGTTAGAAGAGGCTAGCTTCAAGGCCAGGCTCACCTTCTGAGGGGTTGCCCAGATTCCTCCTGCCACATCAGCCTGGCTGTCTCCCACAGTTAGGTCTGATGAGAGAGAGGGTCACGTTTCACCAGCTGAAACTCTGAGACTAAACTTAGTAAAAGATTATTGTGAAGGAACTAGTAACAGGAGAAGACTATATGGTAAATATGTATTTTCTCCTATCAAAGAAATTCAAATAATTGTTAGTCATTCTGGACCTGTTTCTTCATCTGTGAAATAGAGAAGTTATAGGTTAGGTGATCCTTAAAGTTCTCTAGATCCTTAAGATTGTATGTTTCTCTTTTTGAATTTAAAAGCAGCTTGCTTTTACAGCTCAACCCCAGGTTCTGAGAGGTTCAGATAGTATGATCTGGCAAAAGGGATTCAGGTAGGTGAAATTGCTAATAAAAGCATGCTGATGCTTGAGTAGTTCTCCCTGACCCTAGTGTGTGCTTTACAAGATCCTTTAGTACACTGGTGGGGACCTCATCCCAGCCAGTAGGGTGGCTCTTTGCCAGACCCTCCCGCTCATTTGTGTTCTGTGTTCTGGACTCAGGATTGTATGCCAGCTGCAGAGGATGCTGTCCATAGCCGTAGAGGTGGATAGGACCCCCACATGCAGCTCCAATAAAATTGCTGAAATGATGTTTGGGTTTGTGCTGGACATTCCTGAGAGGAGTCAGAGGTGAGTCTTAGTTTTTTTGTTGTTGTTGTTTGTTTGTCTTTTGTTTTGGTCTGGGAACGTAATTTCAAAAGAGAATTCCAAATGGTAGTTAAATTAGGAAAAAAGAGGTAGAGGGATAGTTCCTGTCTCTTTAACCTTTTGAAAGAAAGAGGTTCTCAACCAGTTGTTATTATTTGCAACTAAGGCATAATTTCTTGGGAAGAGGCAGGGTACCTTAAAATGGAGCCTAAATTTTCCCACTTTATCCATCTGTCTAATAACTTTACTCATCTCTCAAGGTTCAGCTGTGAGGCACAACCATCTTCTCTGACCCTCAGCCATAGAGCCTGGTATAACTGTTCACTAAAGTCTTGATGGATGAATGAAATAGGCATATCCAATATTAGGGGAAAAAGAGGTGACCCAAGAATGAATAGGGTTGCACCTTTAGAATGAGCCGAGATACTAAGAATAAGGAATTCAGTTTCTCTAAGCATTAATTAGTAAAGCATTTCATCAGGAAGAGACAAGGAAATAGAGCTCTTGGCTAGGGCCTGTGATTCCTCCTTTGAACCAGTAATTTTAGAAATCTGAAGGAAGAAAAATAAACTGGAATGAATATGAATTCATGAACAGTTGCTGGTACAGAAGATAACTATGAGAAAGCCATTGTACGGTGGTGGCCCTTAGGGGAAATTATCTCCATCAGGTCCATGTCTGCTTCCCATCCCCATCCCCTAAGCTGCCAGTTGGCAGCCAAGACTATTCTTGTACAGTTCTGGTTCCTCTATTGGAAGAAAATGTCATACCATATAGAATTGTAATAAAGATTTAATTAAAATACCCTGCTAAGATTAAGACAAACACTTATTGGGTCCCTACAATGTGCCAGTCATTGTCATGTTAATTATCTCATGTTTTCATAAAACTTTATAATGTTATTACTGTTTAACAAATGAGAAATATACTCTAAGTAGTTAAATAACCCAAGTTTACACAGTTAATCACATTCAGAATCCAGATTTAAACCCAGGACTTCTTTTTTTTTTTTTTTTGCGGTACGCGGGCCTCTCACTGTTGTGGCCTGTCCCGCCGCGGAGTTCAGGCTCCGGACACGCAGGCCCAGCGGCCATGGCTCACGGGCCCAGCCGCTCCGCGGCATGTGGGATCCTCCCAGACCGGGGAACGAACCCATGTCCCCTGCATCGGCAGGCGGACTCTCAACCACTGCGCCACCAGGGAAGCCCTTTTTTTTTTTTTTTTGCAGTACGCGGGCCTTTCACTGTAGTGGCCTCTCCCGTGGCGGAGCACAGGCTCCGGACGCGCAGGCTCAGCGGCCATGGCTCACGGGCCTAGCCGCTCCGCGGCATGTGGGATCTTCCCGGACCGAGACATGAACCCGTGTCCCCTGCATCGTCAGGCGGACTCTCAACCACTGCACCACCAGGGAAGCCCCCCAGGACTTCTTAAATCCAAGGTCAGTTCAAAGAAGGCAATACATTACAGTGGTCAGCCAAAAGGAAGCATTCATAAATGCCATGCTTGCGCTATCACTTTGTTAAGGATATTTCATTTGGGTCCAACTCCCATACCATTCATTCATTTATACCCAGATTCTGGTGAGAGATGGGAAATCTAAGGAATGGGTAACTGTAGACAAATTTGGGCTTAACATAGACAAAAAAAGTTTAAATAAAACCTGGCCCTACTTTAAAACTTTCTCAGAAAGGGCATATTGGCAACCACCCCAAATTATACTAGAAGATACTTTATATACTTTTATCTTGGTTGTTTTAACTTTTAAAAGTTTAGGTATAATTTACATGCAATTAAATGATACAAACTAATTTACATAAATATCCTTCCATGAGTTTTGACAAGGGCATAACCCATGTGACCTATCATTTTCCAGTGCCTCATTGATAGCATATAGAAATCCTGCAACCTTGCTGAATTCATTTATTCTAGTAGGAATATTTCTGTAGTTTCCTTAGAATTTTCTACATACACAATATTTTGTCTGCAAATAAAAACAGTTTAACCTCTTCCTTTCCAATCTGTATGCCTTTTGCTTGTTTATCTTACCCTATTGCATGGGCTAATACCTCCAAAAGAATGTTGGAGAAGTGATAGGAACAGACATCCTTGCCTTATGCCTGATCTCAGGGGGCAAACATTCAGTCTTTGACCATTTAGTAGTAGTATTAGCTGTAGGTGTTTAATAGGTACCCCTTGTCAGATTGAGGAGACTTCCTTCTATTTCTAATATATTGAGTGTTTTTGTGAAGAACAGGTATTAAAATTTGTGAAATTTTTTTCCTCTATTGAGATAGTCAAAATTTTTCTCCTTTCTTCCATTGGTGTGATGAATTACATTGATTAATTTCCTAATATTAAAACAACCTTGCATTCCTAGAATAAAAAACCCTACTTGACTGTGATATGTTATCCTTTTTTTATTGACAGATTGAATTTGCTAATATTTTGTTAAGGGCTTTTGCATCTATGTTTACTAGAGATAGTGATCTGTGATTTTATTTTCTTATAATGTTCAACCTCCTTCATATTTAAAGAAATTTAAATTAAAACTACACTGAGGTACAATTTCTAACCTATCTAAATAGTAAAAATTTTAAAGTACTATAAAAGATAACATTAGTGAGACTTTGAGAAAGCAGGTAGGTACTCATACATTGCTGGTGGGACTGCAGAATGGTACAAGCCTTATGGAGGGGAATTTTACAATATCTAACAAAATTAAAGGTACACGTACCTCTTGACCCAGCAATCTCATGTCTAGGAATTTACCCTGAAGGTACACTTTTTTTTTTTCTTTTTGCGGTACGCGGGCCTCTCACTGTTGTGGCCTCTCCCGTTGCGGGGCACAGGCTCCGGACGCGCAGGCTCAGCGGCCATGGCGCATGGGCCCAGCCGCTCCGCGGCATGTGGGATCTTCCTGGACCGGGGCACGAACACGTGTTCCCTGCATCGGCAGGCGGACTCTCAACCACTGCGCCACCAGGGAAGCCCCCTGAAGGTACACTTTTAACAGTATAAAAATACATATGCACAAGGATATTCACAACAGCATGTTTGTAATTGCAAAATACTAGAAATGACCCAAATGCCCATACATAGGGCAGTGGTTGAATATCTGTGGTACATCTACACAGTGAAGATGTAGCTGTAAAAAAGTAAAATTTAAAAATAGGAGCAAAATATTTATGATCTGTTTTCCAAAATATATTGTTAAGTAAACAAAGCAAAATACAAAAGAGTATGCATAATAAATATACATATCTTTTTCTAAGAAGGAGAAATTTTTAAATATACATGATTATAATAATTTACAAAAAAAGAAACCAAGTTAAGTCAAACTGCAGTCTAATCAAATTGCTTACATACAGGGGTAGATAGATGGCAATGGGCTGGAAAGGAGATAAGGTGCTGAGCTGGAGTTGGAATGACCTTAATGGTAGCATTGGTAGTGTAATACTTCCCTGAGTATACTTCTTTGTATAGTTATAACTTTTAGACTTTTAGAACCATATTAATGTTTTATATACTCAAAAAAAAATAAATCAGCAAGGAAGTTGGATGGGAGCCTAACATGCAATACGAACAGACACAAATTAACCTGTGTTTTAAATGAATAATAATTGGGGCCACGGGGTGGGGGATTGGAGGGAGGACAAGCCCAAGCAACTTTATTTTTACTTCTTATTTTTAAATAATTATAGATTCACAGGAAGTTGCAAAAACTAGTACAGAGGGGTCCTGTATACCCTTCACCCTCTTTCCCCTAGTTATTACATCTTGCATAACCATAACAGTATCACAAAAAGGAAATTGACATTGGTATAATCCACAGAACATATTCAGATTTCATCCATTTCACCTAGATTGTCCTCATTTGAGGGTAGTTCTATGTAATTTTATCACATTTGTAGCTTCATATAACCACCAGCACAATCAAGATATATGGAACTGTTCCATCACCACAAAGATCCCTTGTACTACCCTTTTACGGGTAACTATTCATCTTCTCCAACCCCTGGAAACCACTAGTCTGTCCAAGTAAGGTAAAACACAGTATCTGGACTTAACGCCCTCAGGCAAAAGACAAAATGAAGTGTAAGTAAATATTAAACTCTAGTTAGTAACTTTCTTTTTCACAGAAAGTATGAGTTAACAATTCAAAAACTATCTTATGTGTATTCTAGGATTAAACAAATAAATGTATTGTGGATAATGAGAGCCAAGTTTCTCACTGTCAGAGAAGAGAGTTACACATATGAAAAGGGGAAAGGATAGAAGGAACCCTGTGGTGCTGGATTGGAATTGGAGGTATCAACATGAACTTGTGGTTTCTAATAAATATAGATAGACATAGGAATAAATGTAGATGTGTGAATGAGTTTTATATATATATATATATATATATATATATATATATATATATATAGTGTGTGTGTGTGTGTGTGTGAATTCATACGTCTGTTTCCTACCTTTACCCACTGAGAGAGCATAGAAACAATTACACCCTAGTAGCAGTGAGCACACCTAGTACTCAGATCTTTGTTTCTAAATACTAGTTTATACTAAAAGGAACCAGAGTTCTTTAAGGAAATGACTAATTCCAGAGCTGAGGTAAAGAAAAGTATAAAATGAGCCTAGAACATCTTGCTCCAGAAAGTGAGGAAATGTTCAAGGAATGTTCAGAGCATGTCAAAAGAAGCTTAAAGGGCTTCCACTGACTAAATCTGGGATAATTTGAGTACCAAATAAATATTGACAGTAGAACATTATAAACTGTTGTGTAAAATAAGAATCCATGATTCTAATACTGATAGGAAGGAAGAAAATGGACTCTCTTCCTTATATTAGAAAGCCAGCTAATAAATATAAGAAGAAATGATGAATTAGGGGAAAAAATGCCATTTGGAAGCCATCATAATAAGAGTAAATTCAGGTATGAGTGCGTACTAAAATTGTGAAAGTTTGTGTACTCCAAGATATTT